ACCATAATGCTTTTAATTTCTTTTACATAATTTTACAGACCTTTTTCAGCCTTCGTCTTGCTTTCATTCTCCAAACTTCATAGCATTTCTCGCAGTTCATCAAATGGCTTCTCAATAACATGTTCCCACCTTCATACGCAAACTTTTTATCCAGATATTGGTACAGTCCATGAATATAAAATTTAAAACACCTCCTGGCATTGCTTTTCCCACCTGTTCGAAAAACTAGGCTAAAAAAATTGCATACTTTCCTGCAGCGAAGGTAAATTACATTGTAACGAGTAGTGCACGGAGGCAACGGGAATATGAAAATTCATATCTACGCTCTTTCTGCCCAATGCTTTGTATAAAGCCGGGCGGGGACTGTGGGAGTTGGGCCCAGAGGATGCGGTCCCCCGGACATAGACACAATACTGTGCAAGTAGGACCTGGGTCGGAGGTCAATGCTCGTCTGCAGCTCTGTAACTAGTTGATAACATTGATCGTAAGCTAGCACTGGACTTCACTTAACAGAGTTAACATAAAGCACTTTTTAATAATCGTTGCTATAATTTTTCCCCAGTGTAATTTTGCTTAAAAAAAAAAAAAAAGCTGATGTGTACACCACGTGACTTCTTTGTACGGAACACCACGTGACTTCTTTGTACTTCTTTGTACGGCACAAATATTGCATGCAACTAAATATAGATCAACTAAAGCATAGAAACCTTAAACAGAAGATAAGAATAACATAATTCAATCATTTTTAAAGCAAAAAATGTCCAGTTTACCAACATATAAGAATAAAAAACCTGAGTTCACTGAGCGGAGTAACAGAGTGGGTATATATATATATATACATACAAGTAGAAAGTAGTAAACTAAAAAGAGAGACCTATTTGGTCAAAAAATTCGCGCAAATTTTAATATATGAGCTGCAAATTTTAATATATTTGCACAGAAGAAGAAATTTAAAATTCGCTAATGATTTAAAGTACATTTGATACTGCAGTTCCAGAGTACACAAGTATAAACAATAATACAATACTAAAGCAGTTAAAGTTTACGCGAAAAATACCTACTGTAATAACTGCTAAACAATATGAACTACAAACACAAATTAGAAAAAGGCCTAAAAAAATTTTTTTTAACCTAAAAACATCATATTTTGTTCGCAAACAATCAAAAACATTTTAAATGCAAAGAAATTATATACAAAGAATTGTAAACAAATGGTCAATTAGCCCAATTCGAGGTTTCACACAGACTTATCAAGGGAAAAGTGTGAGAAAACTCCAATCTAGCTAATACCATAGGTACGTTTCGTCAAACGAAACAATATATATACTATATATACTTTTGGTGCAGCCGATTGCAACCAAAATAGGAGTACATGTTATACAACTACATGTTACAGCAGTCCTATATGCAAAATTTTAACGTTCTGAGAATACTCGTTTTTGAGTTACGTGAGATACATACATATATGCAGACACCACGAAAAAACTCTTCTGAATCCATTTTAAATCAGTTTCCTAATTCGTTTGGGGAAAAAAAGAAGTCCTTTATTCTCTCCTTATGTACAGATATCGCGCAAAAACGTCGTTAAATTGTATTCGATACTGGTCAAAATGGACATTTTCAATGAAATATGGTACCCGAAATTTTTCGTGATTACAATACTTCCTTTACTTCGTACAAGGAAGTAAAGAAGACTAAGAATATTTGTATGTTTTTCTCTACTTTGTAACTTCAGTAAAGTTCTGGTTAAATTCTGAATTAGTATTTATTCGGCGTGTTATTGTGTCTTAAATTCTGAATCTTTGTAGTTGCTATTCAGTTCTGATATCGAACATACATAAAATTAAATATTTCTGAATTTTGAAAGAAATTTGATACGAATTTTTAACACCTGGAAAATGAGTTGAGATTTTCACTCCGTAAAATGTATATTTACTCCGTAAATGTCACCTTGTGTAAAATGCAAAACTTCCTTCTAAATCTGCTCACATTTTGCTTTCATTCCTGCGAACGTTTTGGTTGCCACTAATGTAGAAATTTAACTGATTTTCATTTACAGAAATTTAGCAGAATAAAAATTTTAACATCTGAAATACCTAACTTACTTAGTATGTAATGTATTTTTAATTTACATTTTAAATGTGTTAAAGAGCTTTAAGTGGATTTTATTAGTATTTATCAAAATATTCAGATTATTAGCCAATGTATTCCAAATATTACAATCGCGCCTTACAGTGCAGTAAATGCAGCCTACCATACATTTTTATACTATTTTATACTTTGTGCCCAGTTTGCTCTAAGTAATGTAATCCCATACTAAAGTAATTAGCTCACAATATGTTTCGTCTGAATTTTAAGGGTATGTACTTAATTTCTTTACCGACATAAGACAATATTCTGTTTTCGAGACACTACGGAGAAAGAAATGTACTAATTTATGAGCACTTATATCTAACTACCTGCATGTAAAGTATCTACCAATAAATATTTGGACACCCAAGCAAATGCCGTTATCTGCAGTCCTGATATATGTCACGCTCTTCACATTTAAATATCATGTGGGAAACAACTTTAGCATTAATCGCATGTGAAATGCCACGAAGTGTAAAGTTATTTGATTTTTAGAAAGGCGAATCATCTTGACCGATGATTATGATCAGTAATCAAATCAATCAAACCTTTACCTGCTCTGAAGAGATTCTGCTTGAAATCAAAATAAAATCTTAGCTTCTTAATTTATTAATGTTATTAACCAGCAGTTTTGATTAATTCGTGTAAATTGTTCAAAAAATAATATCATTGCTCAGTTATTAATCAGTACTTGTCTAGTAAATTAAATAACCACAATGTTTTCCGAATGTCAAATCGGGAGAGTGCTGCACTTATCCGATATCCTGAAAAGGTACGCAGTAGTTATCACATTCTCCTAAGAATATATAAGAAAAATGCAACAATTATGGCGGCTATATATAAATATAGTAATTTGTCACTAGAATTTATTAGGTATTTTTAATTACTTTCACTAGAATTTGCTGAGCGTACCGTGCTGTTTGAAGGGATCATGCGTACGGATGCGGATACGCGAATATATTATTGCACACGTTAATTCGTGGCCCAAATGGGCCGTCATTTGCCCTATAAAATAATTTCTAAATAGATCGATGACTTTGAGGATCTAGACCAGTTTTTCCCAAACTTTTGTCATCACGCAACACTTCTTAAGTTCTAAAATGTTTAAAGAACTTTATATATATATATATGTTAAGTTATATTAAATAACACATATATATATTAGATTTGAAAAAATAAGCATTTATTTCAGTATTTGTGTGATACCTACAATATTTATAGCTTTCATGGTTTCGAAGTGTTTGAGTCTTCGAATTACAAATTCTTTTAACCAGTGTCAGAAACCTGAATTCTTATTTCAGTTGCAATACTAAGTTCATTTCTATATTCTGATTTTATTACAGCGTAATGTGAAAAACTTGCCTAACACGAATACGTTGTGGCAAAAAGAAATAAAATATGAGTAACTCGTTTTGATTAAGTTCAGATACTCTTCTGACAAACTTATTCAAAAGTACACGAGAAATTAATGCGTAATTTAAAATTTGGAAACATTTAATTAGTCGAGTTCTACTAAAGCAGTTTTTGAATCTTCATAAAGATAGCTGATGTCTTGCAACTGCTTTCCTCAGTGAGCTTCAAAACCTTCTGTTGGATTTAAATCAGAGATCTGGTTGGTAACTTCTCAGAGGTCTTAAACTTTTGGGAATTTATTTTACTAGTTTTACTCTGTGTACATGAATAATATAATCCATAAAAATTAATTAATCGCTTAATTATTCCAGATCTAATCCATCTTCACAGTCAGCTTTTCAAGAATTTATTTCGTAGTTGCTTTTCATTCATATTTTAAACGATAGATGGAGCCAGCGTTTTTATCTTATAGGCATGGCCTTCTTTGCCATTATTTTCGCTCCTTGTTATATCATTAAAATTATAGTCTTGCAAAGTTACTCAGATTATGTTAATAGTTTTCGGTCATTACTAGTTATTATACATATTTATTCTAAATATTTTTTGAACTAATACTGCTTTCAAAACTTCTTTTTCACCACTTTGCATTGACCAAGGCGAAGGGCAGTTTTCATGATTTTCACAGAATGCTATAAACCTATAAGCGATTTTTGATTTTCTACTACATGTTGCGTAATGTCTTCCTGGTTACATAACGAAGTCACATGTTTTAAATTCTTGAGTTACATAAAGTAAAAAGCAATGAAATAAATTTTTTAATATCTCAGTAGGTTTCAAAGCTGCGGAAAGTTTGAAATGATATCAAACAAATCGAATTTGAATTTATCGTTGAAGATTGATAAAGAATCAACTGAAAATAAAATTCTCTTGAATGAATAAAGATGATTATGTTAGGTTATTTAATTACGGCAAAGCCTCGAGGGCTATCTGCCTAAGGGAAGGGATGCCTTCGTGGAGGACTTTCTAGGGGTAACTGGCTCGTATACACGTTGCACAAGGGCATCCATGCAGCCGGCCCGTTCGCGGGATTCGAGCCTCGGACCGAACTACCAGTGTTCAGCGACTTTACCGCTCGGCCGCTGGTGAGCCCATGAATAATGAAGCAAAATGAATACCAAAACTACAAAAAATGAGGAAATGAAAGTAATAAGTAAAAAATTGAAAGGAACTGCAAAATGCTAAGACGAGCTTGTCTTCCTAAGTGTTTTGCCTTTGGTTTGAACGTTTGGCCAAATAAGACTCACATGGAAGTAATATTACATTTTTATGCATAATTCGTACATTGAGTGATAAATAAGTCTAAATTCTTTCATAAATTTTATGATGAAAAATACAATATCATGAGCATCTATTCTGCGTTTTTAGAATTTTCTATGATACGTAAACGTGCAGTTGCAAAAATTGCAAATACCTTCAGCACAGGAGCCAATCAACTCAATGCTTCAAAGTGAAATTTCTGCTGAGTTTGAAAAGGTGTTTGTTTGGATGCGTGAAAACGTGACAAAATGTGGGTTGTGACACACTTTTAACGTTGACATTTTCGGTATTTTATAACTATAAAAGTTATGACAGCTTTGTCTCATACTCATGCTTTCAAACATCTTAAAAGTCATTTGTCTCCAACTGTTGATTCCAAAGAGAGGAATTCGGAAGTACCTGGGAAATCAGCCGTCTTTTGGATGTTTACTCGCACTGTAAAAGAATTGTATGTAGAAGAAAATAAGCCTGCTGATGCGTTGAATTATTTTATTGAAGCCGTTACCTTTAAATCTAGAGAGATAAAACTCCTTTATAACAAATACAGAAATTAAAATTTGTAATTCAAGATTTAGAGACAGAAAATAAGTATTTGAGAGAGAAGCTTGAGAAGAAAAATCATCTACTGAGCAGATTTATTCCCCTTTCTTTTTTTCAATATATGCATTAGCGATGAGTTTATTTTGCATATCTAATTGATAGCTTAATTGTGCTTCATAATGGTACGAGTAAAATACAGATATATTCTTGCCGAAATTTTGACCGAGCAATATAAAAATAAGCTTAAGCTGCCCTTGAAAGAATATGATCTAAAACAAGCGATACTTGCTGCTGTAGAACAAAATCATGGTGATTATGGATTAGCATGTATTCATGCTGGTTTTTCTATAAAGGTTTATAATCCAGCTACTAGAATCCTCATTTTACGAGTTCGGCGTTGTGCTGTTTTGGTATTAAGCACAACACTTCCTTTAATAACTACAGCCGGAAAAATTCAACTTGCATTTCGAACTCTTCGTTTAACTGGAACAATACGTAGTGCTTTTAAGTTTTTAATAGATTTTGACAAAAAGAAATTAATGGAACTAGTCAGCAAGCATAAAATTTCTTCTGAGCATGAAAAGCAATTATCAGACATGATTATGAAATGCCATAAGAGACTGGCTAAAAGAAAGTTTGAGGATCAATGACAAATTCAGATTTATGTTTGTTTTGTGTTTTCTCAGTATTGTGCTGCATGCTTCATAGAAAAATTAAATTTTCATTTTTTTGTCAAAGTATGTTAATAATCTTGACTTAAGAAATGTTTTTTATACCGTGACATTTTCTGACCATGTGAAAGCACTTTATAATTTTTGTTATATCACTAGTGTGTGATTTACAATATTATTCTAAAAGAAAAAAAAAGGATTATAAGGATTATAATCTGTGCTTTTTGTATTTTGATCACGTTTGCTGTTTTTCTGAATAATTAAATGAACTAAATCTCTGCATGTTGAATTAAAAGCTAAAATTTTACATATTTGTGTGCAATCTTCAACTGCTTGTTTATTATCAAATTTTTATCATTTTACATAACTGACATTTAAATAAATTATTGTATTTATTGAATCTAATAACGAATTCTTTTCTCAAATTCTTTATTACACTTAAAATAACTTATAAATGACATTAAATTATAAATGGTGAAATTAAATTCTGCTGCTGACATTATAGTTAAAAATCACAGCAGGAATATTATTTTAACAACTTTATTTTTTCCACTATAGTTAAAAATTACAGCAGGAATGTTATTTTAATTACTTTATTTTTTGCCATCTTTGGAAACTAATTTTTAATGAATTTAAATTGCCTTCGGTTACTTTTTGTGCAGTAAATATTATGAATATTATTTATCTTGCCATAAGAATTGGGTAACACTCTAAATAAGTTTATATAATAATAGTTAATTATATATGTATAATATAAAGCTTAGCAAGTGCTTGATGCTTTACTTATTATTAAATAATCAGCAAGAAGCTGTATTAGTTGAAACTGAAATCGACTGAAGCTGATAACATCCTTTCATTATGCGAGTCTTAAGCAGGCATGATGCTAATCTTCTTGTTACTTGGTGCAATCTCTAAGGCTCCTAAATTTTAATATTTTGTCAATATGTGTGCCCATACCAACTCTAGCATTGGACCTGGTGTTAAGAAAATTTTATTTGGTTTGATTATTTAGGCTTTTTTCTTTAAGATGTCTGAGGCTATTTTCATAGCATCCGACCAAATGAGTGTGTAAGTGATACTTTTAGGAAGGATCACATATGATGAAAAAAAGCTAAATATGTTCAGAATGAATATATATGTCATAGAAGATATAGAAGTTTTTTTTCATCATCTTATTTGCCCATCTTCCATCATTTTTTTAGCATTTTATATCATTCTAATCTGTCGTCTTGATGTTAATAGAGAGCAAGTGTTATCTGTCCTTAAAAGATGTCATTCCACAATTCTATGAAAGAAAATGAGAAAGTTAAATGATTTTTTTTTTCTCTTGGATTTTTATATCAAACTAAGTTATACTCCGAAGAGCCATTTCATTATGACCACCTTGTTAATAACATGTAGGGCCACCTTTAGCCCTCAAAAGTGCCGGCACCTGGTGTGGCATTAACTTTACAAGGTGCTGATACGTAGTCTAAGGTATTTGGTACTAAGTGCTCACCAACTGGTCCTGCTATTAGAAGGAGGAATTTGGCTTTCCAGATGGGACAACAAATGCTCTATTTGATTAATGTCAGGTAAGTTTGGAGGCCAAGACGTGATTTGAAAGTCACTGGAATGTTCCTTGAACCACTCCCTGACGATTCGACCCTTATGACATGGTGCATTATCTTGTTGGTAAACACCCTCTCCCCTGGATGAATGTCATGAATGGGTGAACCTGGTATGTAACAATGTTCACGTAGCACACAGATGTCAGATATTGCTCTATGGGGATTATGGGTCCTGATGTGCTCCATGAAAACATTGCCCCACACCATAATACCCCCTGCCATCGGCTTGTCTCTGTCCAACTGTGCATTCGGAAGTCGTAGTTTCATTTGGAAATCTGCGTATTAGCACATGCCCATTGATGTGATGGACCAGAAAATGTGATTTATCGGACCATGCAACTTTCTTCCATTTTTTCTAATGTCTAATTGCACAATGTGTTAAGAAACAGTCTGGGTGGCCACTGTTGTAGCTAGTCGTGATTTCGGCTGTTGTAGCTCTTCAGTCACGGTGAACAATGCTTGAATCAATGTGCCGTCAATGGCACATGCTAGCCGGTGACTTGTCGTTTTGCCATCCGTATACCACTTTCAATATGTGTTCACAACTGCATCTGAACTGCGTACTAAATGCGCCATTTCTGATATTGATGTTCACAGTAGCTGAGCTATAACGATTTGACCTTTATCGAAATCTGATAAATCAGCTGCTTTTCCCATTATGTTGCTAATCGTGCTATGTTTGGAAAGACAATGCATAGCCACTTTATAAACTTCAACATCAGTCATGCATGTGCAGTAGTTTTGTTCCTGGGCGAGCCCATTGTTATAGATGGTGGTCATAATGTGATGACTCTTCAGTGTATGTTATATACAAAGTCTTTAATACAGACATCTATAATCCGTACCTCAAAAGCTACAAACTTTCTGCGCTCAAAGCCGGAACAAGCTTATTAATTTTTTGCAGACTGTTAAAGCAAGTTTATAAAAAGCAAGCTTGAACTTTCGATTATGTCAAAAAGAATTTCCAATTCTGGAGTTGCCAAAGGATCTACAAAGCGAAAGCATGTTTCGATGTACCGCTTCCGATAGTGAAGAAAGTGACAGAGAGGTTATCAAAAAAGAAAAAATTTTTGTTGACAAGTTAGTCGATATTCTCGACACAGCACTTACAGGACTTGAACAGTGGAGCTGAACAAGGAATTATGTCTGTTTATAGAATTAAAGAGAAAGTATTAGCACAAAAAACAAAGCAACTTAAACAAACTTACATTAAAAGAAATGTTTAATAAAGTAAACAAATACAGTCAAAAGTCATTAATCCAGACTCGTCAGGACTTCGGCGATTCCGGATTATAGATCATCAGTTTAAAATCTCATAAGATGGCATGCAGAAATTCTAAAATTAAAAATATGAAAACCATAATTTATGAAATAAAGAAACAATTATGATCTAAAGGGTATCAAAATTTACAAAAAAAAGCTTAATATTTATTTGTTTACTTTATTAAACATTTCTTTCAATGTAAGTTGTTTAAGTTGCTTTGTTTTATGTGATAATACTTTCGCTTTAATTCTATAAACAGACATAATTTCTTTTTCAGTTACAAAGTTCCGCTGTTCAAGTCCCGTTAATTGCTGTGCCGAGAATACCGACTAACTCGTCAATCGAAATTTTTTCGTTTTCACTAACCTCTCTGTCACATTCTTCATGTCTTTATCCATTTTTTGCAGCAATTCCACTTTTTGTTTGATGGACATCGAAACGTACTTTTGTTTTGTACGATCCTTTGGGAGCTCCAGAATCGGAAATTCTATTTGACATAATCGAAAGTTCAAGTTTACTTTTATAATATTGCTCTTACAGTCTGCAAAAAATAATAAGCCGGATCCAATCATTAACATTAACTGAAATAGATATTTAGATAATTTTAGCTTATACCATCTGTTATACATAAAACTCGCACTTATTCTGTGCTTGCGCACACGCATATGCGCAGTCGTAAAAGGTCGTACGCGCACGCGAAAACGTATTCTGCGCTTGCGCACACGCATATGCGCAGTCGTATGCGCATGTGTCGACGATGTTGGCTTTAGTTTTCCACATGCAAATTTTGATCGGCGGTAAGCTAACGTGGTTGCCGCTGATTGGCCGATGACGTCAAGATTGGCGGGTTGGCCGAGTATAATATATATGTACGCCGGTATCGGCGAAGGTTCTTGTTCTTGTTCTCTTGTGTGATTATCAGTTAGCATTATGCTTGTTTTGCTTTCACTAAATGATTTTAAATGTAAAGGCTACAGTGTTAGCTCTTTTATTTTATTTACGGAATAAAGCATGAATTTTATTTAGTTTAGTCTTAGCTTTATTTAAAGGAAGCAAATTATGCTTTGCTTTTATCACCACTGCCAACAAACGAGGCGCATGCGCAGAAAGTTTTTAGCTTTGAGGTCCGGATTATGGGTGTCCGAATTAACAACTTTTGACTGTATATATTAAGTTTTTTCTTTGTAAATTTTGATACCCTTTAGATCATAATTGCTCTTTATTTCATAAATTACGGTTTCATATTTTTAATTTTATAATTTCTGCATGCCATCTTACCAGATTTAAATTGATGATCTGTAATCCGGAATCGCCCGACGAGTCCGGATTAAAGACTTTGTACTGTATACGTCCTTTTACCTGAACTGAAATTTCTGTCAAATGCTAGGAGAGTTATTTTTACGAAGTAAAAAATGAAATAGCTTATTATAAAACATTCATTTGAATTCAGTTTTATTAACAGCATATTATTGGATTATAATGAATTGTGTCAAATTTATCATATTTAAATGTTAAACTGACAGTTTATATTTAGATATACACTTAGTTTTTTATTTTTGCTTTCTGTATTAAAAATAAAATATTGAAAGGCTATACAGTCAAGTCTTTAATCCAGACTCATTGGGACTTCGGCGATTCCAGATTATAGATCATCAATTTAAATCTGGTAAGATGGCATGCAGAAATTATAAAATTAAAAATATGAAACCATAATTTATGAAATAAAGAGCAATTATGATCTAAGGGTATCAAAATTTACAAAAAAAAAAAAAAAAAAGCTTACTATTTATTTGTTTACTTTATCAAACATTTCTTTCAATGTAAGTTCTTTAAGTTGCTTCATTTTATGTGCTAATACTTTCTCTTTAATTCTATAAACAGACATAATTTCTTGTTCAGTTCCACTGTTCAAGTCCTGTAACTGCTGTGTCGAGAATACCGACTAACTTGTCAATTGAAATTTTTTCATTTTCAATAACCTCTCTGGCACCATCGGAAGCGTTACATCGAAACATGCTTTCGCTTTGTAGACCCTTTGGCAGCTCCAGAATTGGAAATTCTTTTTGACATAATCGAAAGTTCAAGCTTACTTTTATAAAATTGCTGTAACAGTCTGTGAAAAATAATAAGCCGGATCCAGATAGAAGATTAAGGAGCAATGCAATCTGCAACATTAACTGAAATAGATAATTTTAGCTTAGCTTATACCGTCCGTTATACATTAAATGCACAGAAAGTTTGTAGCTTTGTGTCCGGATTATGGACATCAGGATTAAAGACTTTGCACTGTATATTCTTATAAAGCAAATTTCTGAAAAACTTTCCAGAATGAATATAAGAAACACATGTTATTAATTTCTATTTTGTATATAATTTACTACATTATGCTTATGGCTTTGGTTATTTACCTACTCATGCAAACATCTGTTTTTCATTATACCACCTGTTCAGTAAATATAATTATTTGTTAATGTTTATTAAAGTATTTTTATCCTTGAA